GTAGTGGACAACATGCTGTGTAATCCTTGTAGGTGGCCTCTGTGGCCTACTTACACATCAAGCTTCCCTCGCTGATAAGGAGTTTGCTTATATCCACCTTATTACACTCAACGTGTTGTCATTTCCATTAGCCATATGTCTTTATGCGGTGATACTTACATCCTATCAGCATCTGTCTGATAGGATTTTACGCTCACATCCCGTTTTTTTACTTTTTATATCTGCGTAGTTCATCTTTCAGTGTGTGTGTAGCCTGTAACTGCTTTGTGTGTGTCTCAGCTGTTAATAGCCACAGTTAATCACAGTTGTAAGTTTTAATCAGGTTTGAGGTAAGTTAGAGTGCTGTGAAGTGTAGTCAGTGTAAAATAAAGACACATGATGAGTCTAGTCTCTGACCAAGCCTCCCTGGAGGAACCCTGATTTTTTTGTTTCATTGCTCTCTCTCATCACTTCCCTTTTTTTTTTTTTTGAGATATTCAGGCAATATAGGCGATAGGCGTGTTGCGATACGGAAGCACTGACCTACTTGTGCAGCTTGTATTTTTCTGGTGAGGGAGCTGTATCTGGCATTTGATCTGTCCAAGCCGCTACACAGCCCTACTGTGAGAGGAATAGTACTTTGTCCCACACACACACACACACACACACACACACACACACACACTCTCATACTGTCACATCTCATTCTGCAGGCAGCCTCCAGACAGACAGCGTGTCTCGTCTGTTGCTCTCTCCCTGTCACAGCCTCATTGTGTTGGTGTGTGAATCATATTTGCAAGCGTGTCAGAAATAGTATAATTAAATGTAAAGACTACATTAAAATAGGTCTTTGTGCCAGTTTACAGTATCGGCTGCTGATGCTGGTGGTTCAGACTGAGTACATTTTAAGATGTGTAATTAAAATGTTTGCACTGTAACCTACAGGTGACAAAATAGCAGCTTTCTTATTTGAGGTGAAACATTGATGTCTGCAGGGAAAACTCTATCACTGTTAATAGCAGGGTGACATATACACAACATTAAATGAGTGTATTTTAATTAATTGGATTAACTTTTTGCATCTTTTCTGTCACAAAATGTTGCATTTGTAATTGATTGAGCTCATTAACCGCCTTTATTGGATTACTGGATTTAGTTTTTCAAGTAAAAGGTGACAAGGTGTGTATATTTTTATGTGCAGTTATTATCTCATTGAGTCATTAAAGGTTTAATACTCAAATAGTCAAATATTATTCTGAGCTGCGTGAATAGAGTAAAAGCATCTGCACTGTCACAAAGCCTGTTGGCAATCAAAGAGACTTAGCATAATTAATAAACCTAGTGTGGACACGCGATCTGAAACTTCATCATTATCAGGTAAAGTAAGTCCACTGGTGTATCTATTGTAACCACAGTCACCACTACTTTTGTCCAAGCTGACATTCGATAGGAACAATGACTGAGTATTTCCAGGGAGGTGACTGGTCAGCAATCATGAGCAGGTTAGTCACGCAGCGTAGGTTACGATGGTGGTCGGCCTCAGTTAAAGAAGGCGAGCCAGCTTTGTGATACTAGAAAACCAGAGTTAAGCTCAAAGACAGCTGGCTAACCCACTAATCTCACTTCATGATACAGGCCCCAAATCTCCCCTCTAGCTAAACATCTCTGCAACCAAAGTGAAGATCAGCCATCAAAACAACAACAGCAGCGAATATCTTTTGACATAGTGGTGTTTTATTCAACCAGTACAGTTTCAGATATATATGGCATGGAGCATTGAGTGTGTTCTGGAGGCTAACGTTGGAGCAACACTTTCCACTTCATGTTGGGTTTCCCTCCCCAGCTGTATCTATTACTTACACATGTATCACTGTAAATTGCACACTGGGTTCTTTAATGTGTCAAATACCCAAACTGCAGATGTTGTTTTTGGATGTGCTGAATAGATTCCTGGTTCAGGATGAATCCAATTCGCCTTTCTTTACACTTTGCACTGCGCTGCTTCGTTTACAATCCTGAAGTATGTGCCAATATCTTGTAGCCACCTTTCAGTCCAGACCACATCTGCAGCCAACAGTAAAAACCCCTCCAGACTAGTTCAGTTAGTCAGTCTGGAGGATTGTTTTGGAAATCCTCCCTCGTGATTCCCTGCTTTCTTTGTGTCTCCTCTCTGAAGCCTGTCTTCCGGCCTTTTTCAACATCCCTCCCTCCTCTCTCCCTCCCTCCCTCCCCTCTCGGTCTGCTCGACTCAGCTGCTCCCTCTTCTCAACATGCTCCTTAACCTCTTACCTTCCTTTCTCAGGGCGTTCTCTTCAGCCCCCCCCTCGCAGATTTAACAATTTGTCTCTTAAATCATTATCAAGTAAGCTGTATGAAACGGAAGCCAGTGTGTGTCGCTTACACTTTTCAGGTAGAATTAACAATGCAGTGCAATTAACGCATTGCAGTTACCCCAGAGATGAAAAGCAGAATTAAAATGCTATGCAATGTAAAAAAAAAAAAAGAAAAATGAATAGGTACAAAGTAGATTGTGGAAATCTTTTATCTTAAGATTTCTCTTCAGAATTGGGATTTGGAAGTTCAAGAAAACCCTTTCTTAATTTACCCACACGACTGAGCAGAGATAAAGAACTGAGTTTCAGTATTTGTTTTCTTTGTCTTCTCGTCTTCCTCACATTTTCTTTCTTAGCTTCCTTTAATGCATGTAGTTGCTAATGGAGCCCACATGTTGTGTAGATCAGTCTTTGTGTCAGGCTTCACAGTGCGTGTGTGAATAACCGTTGCGGCAAATGTCCTCAGTGTACGCATGTGTGCGTATACCTGTCTTTCAGAGCTTTAATTTTGAAATTCTGTAAGTATTCAAGCTTATTTGTGTGCGTCTGTGTCAGTATTTTGCGCTTTTTTGTCTGCTTTTCTGCTGTGTGTGTGTGTATGTGTGTGTGTGCTTTTGCTGACAGTAAGTCTGTTTGTCACTTCCAGTCTCTATCTCACACACACAGGCTGTCCTGCTCAAAATTAAATCCTTATACCCCACCCTCTACACACACACACGTCATCCAGCTCAGACTTATTAATGCCCATTTTATAATTCTTTAATCCATGTGTGTAACAGAAAGGATGTGTTTGATGTTGAGGACTTCACTTGAAAATAAAATCTACCGTTCAGTAAACGTGACACATAAATGTGCACACACAGCATGCTGTGCCTGTCTGTCAGTGCATTTGTGTGTGTGTGTGTGTGTGTGTGTGAGATGGGGTAGGGGGCAGTTGGGCAGGTGCAGAGACAGCTGGTGTGGGCAACTCTAACCGAGGGGGAGGACGAGAGTGAGACAGAGATTCCTAGAGAATGACATGAATATAGGGTAGCAATTGAGCTGCAAAAGAGAGGGAAATGAGTGTTTTTACGCAAGTGTCTGTGTTGTTGCCAGTGGTGAACTGCTTTGGTGGCACACACTGAGCTTGTGTGTTTGAGTGAGACAGACGGAGAAACTGAGAAAGAGTGGGAGGCTATTAAACCGCATTTTATAGATCAAAAAAAAGGGAAATAAAGAATTGATTGGCTCACGGGGGAAGGAAAAAGGAAAGAGACAAAAACGAACTTACAACGAACTCAGTTTTCACTTTTATTTATTTGATAAGCCCAGCTAGAGGCAAGTGTGCTCTTAGGTCAGCTTATCAGTAGCAGACAATAATTGCTTTACTGAAATTAAAAGTGCATAAGTGTGCATTTTTCATTTATTGCAGCCATTTCTGTTTAAATATGAATTACAAGCTAATTTTGAGTGGGTAAACTTATTATCTGTCTGTCTGTGCAGTCAGATGAGAAGATCAGCACCACTCATACGTGTATGCTGAATATGAAGCCTCATCCAACAGCACGATAGCTTAGCTTAGCATAAAGACAGGGAAAGCGGGGAAACAGCTAGCCTGGCTCTGTTCGAAGATAACAAAATCCCCCTCCCAGCACTTCTAAAGCTCAGTAACACGGTGTATCCCGTTTGTTTAATAAGCACAAAAACCAAAGTGTAAAAATAACACGTTGTAACCGCAACAGTAGTGTTTTCAATTAGTCGATCGACAGAACAACTATTTTGATTATCGATTGAACATAAAAAGTAAAAAGCAATAGTAAAAAAGTTCAACAGTCGATCTTTTAAATGTGAGTATTTTCTGTTTTCTTTCTTTGTCTTTTATGATAGTAAACTGAATATCTTTTGGGTTTTTTGGACATTTGGTCTGAAAACAAATTTGAAGCTATCACCTCAGACTCCTGGAGCGTCACGGTGTGATTCTAAACTTACCTCAAAAATTTTTAAACCAAATCATTCATCTATTAATCGAGAATCAGCAGATTAATCAGTAATGACCATAATTGTTACTTGCTGCCCTGATGTGCTTGATTGCAGTGTTGAAACACTGTCATCCCACCACTACTTTTGTTCCAGTATGTTCTTCAGAATCTTAAACTCTCAACCAAAGCAGCGTTTCGTTTTGTGAATACAGGTGGGTTTTGAAAAGTGAAGAGCTGAAGGGGACTTTATATAGAACAAGCATTTTCACAATCCTTTTGCATAATGGGCAAATAAAGTTTGAATTTAAAAAGGCAATTTGTTTTTCTGTTTTCCATCCTTGGAAAATATGATTTGAAAATATCCACCTACTGTTCTGTTCCTTTGTCTCTCCTCTCTTTTCTCTGCACATGTGGGGTAATGGGCGGGCACCGCCCTCTAGCGTTCAGACATGGACATTCATCAGTCACTGTACCACGTCATGCAGAGAGAATGCCTGTGCTGGTCTATTTGCAGACAACCACCTAACATTAACGCGTGGACTAAGAATAGAAAGGACAATTAGGATTTCTGTCCATGTGTCCATGAAGAGAGATTTACTAATGTGTGTGTGACAGTGAGCTGTCACCTTCAGACTCTCATTAACAGTGTTTGCTAACCAACATTTTTACTTTTTTTGTGTAATTGTGTCTCTTAATATCCTCCCTTCTTCTCTTGTTACATGTCTTCTAGGAGGAGGCCATCCCAGAGCTGGAGATAGATGTGGATGAGCTGCTGGATATGCCCAGTGACGTTGAGCGGGCAGCCAGGGTCAAGGTAGGATCCTAATATACACTTGTGTCGAAGCATGTAAGGACGCACAGATGCAGGAGACACAGTATATATTCAGACTGTCTGTTATTGCTTTACAGGACTTGCTGGTTGACTGTTATAAACCTACTGAGGTAAGTCTTTTCCTTCTTTCCTCCATTCCTTTCTCCCATCTTTCTACGCCCTGACACGTTAAGGTTTTCTGTAAGGTTTTCTTTGTTTCTGAATCCTGTGTTTTGTCCCTCCTGTTTCCCCGTAGGACTTTGTCTCAGAGCTGCTTGACAAGATCCGAGGGATGCAGAAGCTCTCCACGCCTCAGAAGAAATGATGGCGTCCCTCGTCCTCCCTTACATCCCCCCCTCCACCTCAGCCCTCACTTCTCGTCTTCCTACCACACTTTCTATCCTTTTATTTTGATGTCTGTTTTCTTCCATTGAGGATCTTCATGAAAAACTGAACCTTGTTTCCACTCATCGTTAGGCCCTCTGTCCTAAACTCCTTTCTTTTTATCTCTTTCTCTTCTCTTTTCTCGTTGCCTGGATCCAGTCCCATAAGTCACTTTTTATTTTTCATTTTGTTTGCCCTTCCCTTGTTTAGTTTTTTTTTAAAACTTCCTTCTTAAAAACTATCAGCAAAGAAGCAAAAGGAAAGGAAAGAACGCATAATAACCAGATTCATCACTCTCAATCCAGGCACTCTCCTTCCTTTTCATTTTCACCCCTGCTTCTCCTTCACCCTTTGTTTGGCTTTACTCCTCTACCTCACCCACCTCTTCTTGCTCCCACTTTCCCTCATACCACCCTCCATCTGTCCGAGGAGAAGAGGAGCTGAGATGAGTTGAGCCCCGTAATTAAAGAGATCGGAGCGGCCGAGAGTGGGAAGAGGACCAAGAGAAAGCGTCTGCAACAGCCAAGGAGAGAGTGGAAGGGTGAACGATGAAGGAGGAAGAAGCAGCCAATCAGCTTGAAGCAGGGCCTAATCAGTGCTTTTGTCTCTACCAATGAGATTCCTTGTTTTGTTTAAACTTGATCCAGCTACCAACCATGATTCTTTTGATATTTTCTAGTTTGTTTCTCAGTTTGAGGGCATGGAGATATTCACTTGACTTTAGTTTTTTTTTAATTTAAAACTTATTTGGGGGTCCGTACAATCTTTTCAGATGCATCCCCACCCCCCTTAATCAGAGGCATTTGCTACAGTGGTGCATTTAAAGACTGACTTTTTTTGTGCGTGTGTATCTGTTGAAAAATCTGCGCTATGTCATTTTGGGAAGAAAATCTGAACCTCTGACCACAAAGAATACATATGGTCTATCTTTAGTACGACAAAGAGGAAAATTTCATCCCTGGAAATAGTGGTTGAAGCTTAAAAAAGTCACTGGTTGGTTGGGGTGGTCAAACGGTCCAACTAATTTTAGAATAAAATTCCTCCCCTGAGGCCAGAGTAGACGGATGCTCTCCTACGTCGGGTGTGCTTGAATAGAATTCAAATTCATGAAAAAAAAGAGAGATGTTTTTCTATCTTTAAATGCGTGGTGCAGTCATAAAAGAGGCTCTTTAGAAGCCACTGCTGTCCAGCCTGCACATACTTATGTACGTCTGTGTGTTGCTAAATGCTACGTGTGTATGTTGCTACATAATGTACAGCAACTTTCATAATAGGAGTGTTTTTCTGGCCTGTATATTCTGCTGTTCTGTACGACAAATTAGATTTTTAGTATAGGACTGGTTCCTGTTTTGGGGTTTTAGAGTTAAATTTTTTTTTCTGGATGCATTTTGTCCCACACACACTGACAGTCCGACTGGGGGGACCCAGAACAAAGCTGCCTTGTTTTTTTTATCATCCCCCCTCTCTCTCTGTCTGTTTCTCACAGTCTCTTCCTTTTATCTTAGGAATGATTTAGTCCACCACATTGTTTGTGTTTGGCAGCCATCAGTTCGGAGCTGTCACATGTACATGGAAACTCTGAAAATGTCCTTGCTCCACATTGGTGTAGAAACTTTGTACTGTCCTCTGCCTGTCAGTAGACCCACCAATGGGATGTCTGAATGGGAGGGATGGAGGGAGGGAGGCCACTATTTTAAACTGACGCTGTCTAAATGCATTCACTCTCCTTTTTTTTTTTCTATCCTTTCTCTCATACACACACAGGCCACCCTTGGGGCGGAGGGAACGGAAACACAGCTGCCTCTCACACAGATGTGCACACACATACACACACACATACACACCAAGCACTGGGAGAGAAAGGGAGAGAGAAAGGCCGGTCTGTAGCTGTCACAAGATCTGCGTGTTTCCCCCACTGCAGCTGCCAATCACCTCCAAGAATAAGCCATCTGTTTCTAAACCTGAGCCAATCAGATGAAAGACCTAAGCCCATCGGCCAATTGGAGACACAGTAACGTTTGCCGTGATGGCCAATTGTGAACACCTGCGGTGACAGCAGACCTCCACTGTCTGTTGCTTTCTCTCTCAACACACACACACACACACACACACACACACACACCGGCCCATTTTCATTTTGCTGCTCTGTCATTTCTCCCTGGCATCCCCTCTCTCCCCCTCCTCCCACCCACTTTCATCCTTCTGTCCACCATCCATCTATCCTTTCTTGAGTTTCCTTTCCTTTTTTAAAGAAAACAGATGTTGCCTTAGGTATTATTTATGTTACACAAACCAAATAAACGGGAGACATTCATTTTTAAAAAGGTAACGCAAACTGCTAAAAAGGTGTGTTACTGAGCAGAACTGCGGCACAGGAGAATCTCTGCTCTTCAGTCGCTCCTTTTCTTCTTTTATTTTTGAAAAACAAAATGAGATTCTGTTGTTTTTTTAGAAGTGAGTGTTTAATACTTAGGCCTTGATACAGTGATTTTGTTTAGATAAAACAATGTTCTTTACATTTACCATTTGAATACTGGTCTGTTTTTATTGTGATCATGACACTTCTTGATGCCGGGCCTTGGATTAACATGTAGTTGAACATAAGTCCATTCAGATACATTTTGGTGCGATTGCTTTTGCCTTCCTGGTGAGGTTTCCAAATCAAGCTCGGTCTGCATTTTTGCGAGACATGAATGGTGGGATTGTACCAGGCAAGCTCAATCAGTAGCTGAATTTGAGTGGATTTTCATTTCTAAATCCAGGTTTGGATTATACCTTCTTAGACTGTTATTGAGAAGTCTTTTTTTATTGTTGGGGAAAAATTGCAAAAAAATATATATATAGTGATTATTATCATTGAGGCTAAATACAAGCGCTAAAACATGCGGACTACAGGACTGGAGGTGTTTTTAGGACAATTATTAGATCAAACAAACAAACAAATGTAGCAATATCAACAACAGGTCTTGTTTTTGCCCAATTTTGTTACACTTTTATGCAACTTTAATAAAAACATGTAAAATGGACATCTTGTTTGTCTTATTATTGGGTGTGTCAGTTCTTTGCTTCAGAATACCTAGAGAGATTTATACATGATTATACAACGCTTGTGTTTAGTTCAACAAAGCACCCCTTTTAAAATTTGATATTTTGCAGTTTATTCACTTTTAACATTTTCTTTATAGACTATTTTTCATGGAAGACATTTAAACTTGTTTTAGCAGGTAAAGCACAGGTGTATTTAATAATAGGCTCTGTTCCAGTAAGTGTGTGTGTAAGCCATGAGAGGAAATGATATGCTGACATAATAAATGTTATTAGTTCTTCCTGTGGTTTTCCTGCAATGACATTACAAAATGTCTGCCACGAAAAAAGGCCTATTGTCCAAATTATATGAATTCCACCATTATCATTTGCATGGCTGCCTAGACATGTAACATTACTTTAGTGCCATCTTGTGGTTAATTGCAGTATAACGGCTTAATTTTTACCCTACTGTAAAGGAAGGGTGGCTCAGTCATATTCTGTTCTAATCGCAGGGTGATTAATGTAAACCCAGTCAGACTTTTGGTTAATAATGTATCTATCACAACACAGAGGCCTAGACCCAAAGTGTCTGAAATTAGAATTCAAGATTGCTTTATTGGCATGCTTGTAATTAAGTTCAATACTGCCAAAGGGTTGTATAAGGTTCACAATTTAAAAATAATTAAAAATGTAAGAAAGAAAAATACAACAAATGCTTTTCATATTGCCACACCACACTGTACTACTTTATACAACTGCAGTACTATCCTACATATTATCACAGAGGCCTTGAATCAAAGTAGTATACATTACAAGGTAAGATGAGCCATTATATAGAATAGAAATAGATAAACGAAAATATTTTTTTAACTCGTTTGCATTAAAGGTATATTGCTTTCTCACTTTTGTATTTCTTTTTCTTATAGCCTGTATTCGTTGTAGTTATTCTTGTGTGTGTAATCTCACCTGAGTTGTCTAGCCCACCATCATTGCATTGTGTTATATTATATTTTATATTAAATAAAATAGTGTGAATGCCGAATGCTGAAGGCATTCACACTATTATAATATTCAACTATTTTTGTAACTTTTATACTTTTTAAGCTATTAAGCTTTTTAAGCAATTTTTTTATAATGTGAGTCAATGGAGAATCGTGTTTCAGCTGCTTCAGCTTTCAAAGCCTACTACTTCTGCATACTTTCAGCTATTTTTGTCATTTCAACTTTAAAATGTTGAGAAATCTTTAAGCTATTAAACTTGTATTCAACTTTTTGATATCTTTTATACTTTTTACACTATCGCGATTTTAGTCTGGTAAAGAATTCAGGCTTTTTCTGAGTTTATAATGGAGGCGGATGAGACGGAATGTTCAGAGCTAGAGCACGTGATGTCATCGCTTGAGGGCAGCCAGCTGGAGAACTCATCATAAAAAATCATTTTTAAATCGCTGGTCTGACCACAATTTTAACTCTTCAGGCATGAAATTATACTAGAAATGTAGGTATTTTTGTTGTGGTTCCTCACATGTGTTTAGTAAATCCCTCGGACTTATAGATATGGATTTCCTCCATAGGCTTCAATAGTAAATTCTCCTCAACATTTCTTGACCAGAGTGGAATGTACCAGTTTTTCAACTCGCCAAAGTTTTTCAACTCCCTTTTTTCAAATTTATCCACACAAAAAATAGATCACATCGTTCGCAAATGCCTTCTGCCGCTGACGGTCAGGTCATTTCGCCGATACGACCTATAGTTTTGTCTCTAGGCGGGTTTGTTTGAGGCAAAGTCTGAGAGAGATTTTGCCATCTGTCTATATATATATATATATAGCTGGTTGCCCAGGTGATGTTAATAAGCAGAGAGAGATCAAAGGGAGACACACACGCACACACATTCTCTCTCTCTCACGCACACACATTCTCTCTCTCTCACACACAAACACACACATACTTGGTCCTGTGTTCTGATTGGTGGACAGACGTTTAGCTATTTCTTCAATGAAGTTGAATCTGAATCCAGAGTACTGCATCTGCTACTACAACCACTACTACTAGACTAATTACTACTACCTGGTACTACAACTAACACACACAGAGGGACACAAACAGACACACACTATTCTCTTCATTGGAAACAGTTGGGTCTCTGTGACTCACGGTGTCTCTTATAGTCCACCTCTCTCTCTGTCTCACAGTCCGTCTCACAGTCTTATAGTCCACCTCTCTCTCTGTCTCACAGTCCGTCTCACAGTCTTTTAGTCCACCTGTTTCTCTGTCTCACAGTCTTTTAGTCCACCTTTCTCTCTGTCTCACAGTCCGTCTCACAGTCTTATAGTCCACCTTTCTCTCTGTCTCACAGTCTCACAGTCTTATAGTCCACCTTTCACTCTGTCTCACAGTCCGTCTCACAGTCTTATAGTCCACCTCTCTCTCTGTCTCACAGTCAGTCTCACAGTCTTTTAGTCCACCTGTTTCTCTGTCTCACAGTCTTTTAGTCCACCTGTTTCTCTGTCTCACAGTCTTTTAGTCCACCTTTCTCTCTGTCTCACAGTCCGTCTCACAGTCTTATAGTCCACCTTTCTCTCTGTCTCACAGTCTCACAGTCTTTTAGTCCACCTTTCACTCTGTCTCACAGTCCGTCTCACAGTCTTATAGTCCACCTTTCTCTCTGTCTCACAGTCAGACTCACAGTCCACCTTTGTCTCTGTCTCACAGTCTGTCTCTCAGTCTTATAGTCCACCTCTCTCTCTGTCTCACAGTCCGTCTCACAGTCTTATAGTCCACCTTTCTCTCTGTCTCACAGTCAGACTCACAGTCCACCTTTGTCTCTGTCTCACAGTCTGTCTCTCAGTCTTATAGTCCACCTCTCTCTCTGTCTCACAGTCCGTCTCACAGTCTTATAGTCCACCTCTCTCTCTGTCTCACAGTCCGTCTCACAGTCTTATAGTCCACCTGTTTCTCTGTCTCACAGTCTTATATTCCACCTCTCTCTCTGTCTCACAGTCCGTCTCACAGTCTTTTAGTCCACCTGTTTCTCTGTCTCACAGTCTTTTAGTCCACCTTTCTCTCTGTCTCACAGTCCGTCTCACAGTCTTATAGTCCACCTTTCTCTCTGTCTCACAGTCTCACAGTCTTATAGTCCACCTTTCACTCTGTCTCACAGTCCGTCTCACAGTCTTATAGTCCACCTCTCTCTCTGTCTCACAGTCAGTCTCACAGTCTTTTAGTCCACCTGTTTCTCTGTCTCACAGTCTTTTAGTCCACCTGTTTCTCTGTCTCACAGTCTTTTAGTCCACCTTTCTCTCTGTCTCACAGTCCGTCTCACAGTCTTATAGTCCACCTTTCTCTCTGTCTCACAGTCCGTCTCACAGTCTTTTAGTCCACCTTTCTCTCTGTCTCACAGTCCGTCTCACAGTCTTATAGTCCACCTCTCTCTCTGTCTCACAGTCAGTCTCACAGTCTTTTAGTCCACCTTTCTCTCTATCTCACAGTATGTCTCACAGTCTTTTAGTCCACCTTTCTCTCTATCTCACAGTCCGTCTCACAGTCTTTTAGTCCACCTTTCTCTCTGTCTCACAGTCTTATAGTCCACCTTTCTCTCTGTCTCACAGTCAGTCTCACAGTCTTTTAGTCCACCTTTCTCTCTGTCTCACAGTCTTATAGTCCACCTTTCTCTCTGTCTCACAGTCTTTTAGTCGACCTGTTTCTCTATCTCACAGTCCATCTCACAGTCTTTTAGTCCACCTTTCTCTCTGTCTCACAGTCTTATAGTCCACCTTTCTCTCTGTCTCACAGTCAGTCTCACAGTCTTTTAGTCCACCTTTCTCTCTGTCTCACAGTCTGTCTCTCAGTCTTATAGTCCACCTTTCTCTCTGTCTCACAGTCCGTCTCACAGTCTTTTAGTCCACCTTTCTCTCTGTCTTACAGTCCGTCTCACAGTCTCAGTCATATAGTCCACCTTTCTCTCTATCTCACAGTCAGTCTCAGTCTTTTAGTCCACCTGTTTCTCTGTCTCACAGTCCGTCTCACAGTCTTATAGTCCACCTGTGTCTTTGTCTCACAGTCAGTCTCACAGTCTTCATCTATACTACCAATACTACTACTACTACCACTACTACTATTAGTACTATTAATAGTGCAGTAGTTACTACCACAGCTGCTAATACTCCTACCATTATTAATATTTATTGTACTACTACTACCACCACTACTGCACTAACTACTACTACTACTACTACTACCACCTGGTACTACTACTATCATTACTACTATTATTACTGTTAGTAATGCAGTAGTTACTACAACTGCTAATACTCCTACGACTAATAATACTTCTTGTACTACTAGCACCACTACAACTGCACTCACTACTACTACTACTTCTACCACTACTACTACTACTAGTACAACTACTACTACAACAACTTGGTACTACTATTACTACTACTACTACTACTTCTTTAGAATGTAGGCACTCAGCTGATTGAGATCATGTAATCAGGTCAGTTTGATTGACAGACACACAAACACACAGAGAGAGACACAAACAGACATGCACACACAGACACAAGCGCACACACAAACAACACAAACACCCAGACAGAAACACACACACAGATGCGCGCGCACACACACACACACACACACACAGATGAGCACACACACACAAATTACAAAATAAAAGCCCTACTGGGTTAATCTTAGTCAGGTTGAAAAAGGCTTCTCAATAGTTCTCCGGACCCAAATTCTTCCAAATTAAAACCACAGACAGTTAAAGCATCTTAACAGGGAATTCAGGATGAGGCTGATTTTTCAAGATAAAATCCCTCGATGGTGACAAGATGTCCTATTGTTTGTGCTATGTCCTATCTGACCTAATGTTTCAAAATAAAAGCCCAAACAAAGGACCTTTCACTGCAGGATGTGACACCCAGCTTCTTGAGCCTTCTTGACCTTATTGAACCTTAAAAAGCTCAACAGTTTTGATACATAATAGGCAGTATTCAACTTTTACATATCGCAGATTTACTGTCCAACGGCAAGTGGCAAGTGAAGCTGGGAAAGCATGTGTCTGACTCCTGCACTGTCAGCACTGGTTCCCCTCAAAGCTGTGTTCTTTCCCCTCTGCTCTCCTCCCTGTACAACGACAGCTGTACCTCCAGTCACCAGACCACCAAGGTCCTGAAGTGTGAAGGATCAGGAGCAGATCTATCTTCCGTCCATCCATCTGTCTGTCAGTCTGTCTGTCTCCCCCTTAACTGTCTGTCTGTCGGTCCATCCATCTGTCTGTCTGTCTGTCTGTCTGTCTGTCTGCCTGCCTGCCTGCCTGCCTTTCTACCCCTTAACTTTCTGTCTGTCTGTTAGTCTGTCTGTGATTGGTTCAATTAAAGGCCTATATTAAAGTGTCTGGAAGCTGTATGGATGGCTGCTCTTTTCCCCATCAACTTAATTGATGTCTGTCTCTCTGTCTCAACTTGTCTGTCTGTCTGTCTCTTTGCCTCTCTTTCTGTCAATGTCTGACTGCCTGTATCTCTACCTGTCTCTGTCTGTCTCCCACTCAACTTCATTTCTTTCTATCCATCTATCTGCCTGTCTATCTATTAGCTTGTCTGTCTGCCTTTTCCCCCCTTAACTTTGTCTGTCTTCCTGCTTGCCTATCTCCCCCTTAACTTTCTATCTCTCTATCTTTTTTCTTTTGACTGACTCATTTCAATTTCCATTTATGACAGTATAACACATTTCATCGTTTTAGCAACTTATTTTAGCTCTGTTACACTTCCAAGCTCTTTTTCAGTGAATTGCAGCCCTAATACTTCATTTTGCATTTGATTTAATTGCTTCTGCATTTTCTGCAATCTTTTGCCTTATTTTTGTGCATTTCAGCTTCTTTGTGCATTTGAATTAAGCTTTTTTGCATTTTCTGCGGTGTTTTGCAATTGTTTGAGCATTTCAGCTTCTTTGAGCATTTGAATTAAACTCTTGCAAGTTCGTTCCAGCTTCAGCATTCACACGCACCTTCCGCAGGAAGTGCAAATTTTCTGGTCTATTCTATTATGATGCGTTTAAAAAAGGGAGATGCGCGGGTTTTGTATGACGTGTACTCTATTGGTTAATTATGATGTGTTCCAGCAACAAGCTGATTTATGATTGGCTGACTACACCTGCTTTAGCATTTTGATTGGACAGGCGACGTTCGGGAAGGTCGTTCCTATTGGTCGCGCCATCGGTAGTGCTTGGCGATGATTGGCTAAACTTACGGGTTGTAGAGTCCGGCAAAGTGTCCGCTGATAACTGAACTGAAGAGGAAGTACTTTTTAAAATGGAAATATAACAAATCCTACTTTAACTTTCTACAGCCGAGCAGAGGGAGAAGGTGAGCGGGCTCTTGTAGTCACTGTCTTGTCCGGTGGAGGGAAGGTTATCTGTTTACAAACAGCATCGCCTGCCTACACGGACGGATAACGTTAACGTTACTTGTTAATCCGTGTGCAGTTGGTGGACAGGGTCAGAATGAAAGCTTGATGCTTCAGCGTGCTTAATGATATTTAAGCGCTGATTATATTGATTACTATCTAACGTCACGTTCGTTTAGAGAAGATATGACAATAAAATGACTTAAAGAGCCTGTCAATGTGAGCACGCATTCATTCTTTCGCTGTGTGGGTTCAGTTGTTAGCTAGTGTTGCACTTGACTTCACTCGGGTTTATTTGCCTCTGATATGACAGTAAAATGCAACAACCAGTCTCGGTTACTTCCTTTGGGTGTTGTAAGTAAATAGTTGGACAGTATTAAGATGCTTCAGACTCAGTTCGGGTTCAAATAGCTCATAACGCTTACCGTTTGACTGTATGACATCACGGAAGCGACCAGTGGTCAAGCTAGGCGAGGTGAAACAGGAAGTCTGGTAAGGTAACAAAATAAAAGCAATGTAAACGGATGTAGCCATCTCTTGGTGGAAACAAGCCGCTTATTTTCGTTTAAGCTATTCAAACACAGGTACATTATTTAGTTCTTCCTCATAACACTTTTGCTTTTCATCAAGGAAAATCGGGTAATTTCAGGTCTTGTGCTGTGTTTTTTAAAGCTGACTTGACAGAGATACAGAAGCCATACAATAGCTCAATGGTGAAAATTATTTGAATATTATCTGCACAGTAAGCAACAATTCACAGTTAAAATACGGACGAGTCTCTGCTTTACATACAGAGTAGCATGTTTGTCCTATACGTTTGTTTGCTTTCTGTGTGTTTTTGTGTGTGTGGTTTACTGTTATTGCAAACAAGCTGCAGTGCTGTAATTCCTCAACATCACCAATATTGAGCAAAAATAGCACAAGTAAATCAACAGATATTAGTGTCAGTATGTTGAAGGCAGTTGTGTTTCATATAAAATTGAAAAAATAAATAAACTGGGCGCCGACTGTTTCCAAATGTCGCCGTTTACTATTTGAAATAGTTCATATATTATATACTTATATTATAAATTGTTTCTTTTTTAAAACATGACATCAAAAGTTTTTGTTAAGAGTTTTTGTTGTTGTTGATGAAATAGCGGACAGAAAAGAGATGGATTTGGTTGACTTACCCAGACACATTGTGAGAATAGTTTGTGTGTGTCGTCATGTTTCTCAGGCAGCCATGCCCGCTCAACCCCCTGTGAGGGAGCCGGAGGAGGAGATGGAGGCAGAGGGAGAGTCACAACTCCCTGAGGCCAACGGAGAGGTGGAGCAACCGAGAGAGAATGAAAGAGGAGGAGAGGAGACCATGGAAGAGAGCACGGAGGAGAGGGAGACTGACATGGAGGAGAGTGAAGAGGAGGATGAGGAGGAAGAGGAGAGTTCGGGTAAAGACCCTAAGTACTCGGCTCAATTGTGACAAAGATTCTGTTATTGTCTTGTCTGTTTTTCACGCTGTCTCTGTCCTCTGTGTGAAGAGATGGATGATGAAGACTGCGAGCGGAGGAGAGGAGAATGTCTAGATGAGATGTTGGATCTGGAAAAACAATTTCAGGATCTGAAAGAGAAGTGAGTTGAATCAGGAGGGTGAAGAAACTCTACGTTGTGTCCCCCTGGTGTGATTCTGAACTTATCTCAAGTTCTATGAAGGATGGAGGGAAAAAAGGACAAGAGACTGACCCCAAGTTGTTCATAAAACGTCACTGACTGACCTCACCGTGTGATTGCAGGTTGTTTCGGGAGCGGCTGAACCAAGTGAAAGTGAAGCTGGACGAGGTGCTGACAGGGAAGGCTGGAGAATACAAAGAACCACTGGCTGCGCTACAGAACAGCATGCAGATACGAACACAAGTGGCTGGTAGGCAATACACACCTTTTCTTGGATTTTGAACAGCTTTAGCTTTTTTGTCATGGCTTGCGCTGCAAGTCACGTTGCATGTCATAAAGTCATGATGTGAAATGTGATTTTGTTGGGTAATTTGGAATCTTCCCTGCACACAATAGAGGGTATGCGCATGATGTCACAGAACGCTGCTACGCTCACTGAGTGGCAGAAAGACGAGCAGCAGTGTTAGCTTGCATCAGCTAAAACACAAACACCACATCTAAAATGGGAAAGAGCTGGACCACTGGTTCTTTGGTAAGCAGTAAGGACCACTGTTGAGTCCGACTGCCTATAATTTAAGCAAATAATCACTTGTTTTACTCCCGGTTTGCTAAACGCAGCCATGGTAACAGATGTTTTGCCACTCAGTCCAGCGTTTTCCGGAAGGAGAAGTGAGATCAACCCATACCGTCTATTTCTTCTTCCTCCTCTTCACTCTCCTCCGTGGTCTCCTCTCCTCTCCTCCTCTTTCATTCTCTCTCGGTTGCTCAAACATATCTGAGAAATTGAACAGAACATGTCTGGCCCCATGGGGTTTTTTTGGGTGTAGAGGTGTAGCTTTTCTCATGTCTGGTAGTAGCGCCGTACAACACCTGGCCACCAGGTGGGGCTGTTTAAAAAACGTTAACCTCTAAGTCTGATTCAGTCAGTGTAAATGTGGATCTGAAACAGTGGGTACATCCCAGTCTCTTATGTGATATTTCCTCGCTACTTGCTCCGCACTTGAACCGGATGTCTTTCTGGTCCGCCATCTTGCAGGCCATCCCAAAGCTCTTATTTGTGCTTCGAGGAGCGATCTCTAAGGAATGAGGGATGAAAAAAGACATATGTATAAATGAATAAATAAATAAAATTAATAATTAAATTCAGAAATAAATTAAAATTAAATATGTTTTTGTAAAAAAAAAAAAAAAAAAAAGGCTTTCTGTATTTCTACATTTATTTATGCCTGTATTTCCATGTTTCTACATTTATTTATGCCTGCGCCTGTATGCTAACAGAGTGGTTAGCTGGGGGCCGCAACGCAAACCAGACGGAGGCAAGCGATTCATCTACATGACACAAGCCAGCTACACAGTAGATTCCTGTAGTCAAACATATTCAGTGTCAAAGTACATGGATTCTTCCATGGTTATTACAACAACAGCTAGAGTAGGATTCTTCCACTGTTGGTGTAGTTTTTTGTAGTTAAAAGACTTGGTGAAAAAATTACTCCGGAAAGCCCCGCCCAACTCCTTCTCTTGGATTTCAACCCTCAACCAACCGGAATATTTACTGCGCCATTTTCCTCGTCGAAAGTCTGTGGTAAGTGTCTCTAAATTACTTATTAAATCATTGTTTTTTGCATTTGAGTAGAAGCCGCATTGTAGAATAACTTAATATTGATGTCCACCACCGCAGCCTCTGCTGCTCTGTGTCGGCTCCTGCACACACGCACAGCGGCCAGCAGGGGGCGAGGACGCAGTGGAGACCGAGTTGCGAAGGGAGCTCTAAACTACACCAGTTTACCACAGCTATGCTCGTTAGTGTACGTATGTGCAATAAAACCTTCGTGACTAAAAATATATTACTTTATCAGTTTAACATGTAGAAAGCGTTATTTTAATCTGCTCTGTCCTCAGTCGCTCATCCTCTGTGTGTTAAACAAGCACAGCTAATGTTAGCTTGGCAATTAGCCAAATGTTACAAACAAGCTAAATTGAAATCTGTCTGTCTGAAACGTTAGTCTAAGTGTTTAGCTTAGTTTTGCCCTCTAGCTTAAAATGTGGCACACTGTTGTAAACTCAGCTGCTGGCTGAGACGTACATTTCATTTAAAGCCAGAGATAGTGCTCGCAGTTAATATTTACAGACTAATGATGTGTTGCAAGCTGCGGTTGTTAACGCTGGTTTAAAGTACATCAGAGAGCAGCAACTGTGTCTGTTGTGGTAATGCTAATAAGTTAAATATTATACACACACGATGAGATGAGAACTAAAGTGGATGCAGACGTCTTTGAAGAAGCAGCACAGCAACCCGATGCTGGTGTATTTACTATCAGATCTGACAACAGTAAACTTGATTCCCGTTTCTTTCAACATAGTCCATGGATTAAGACCCAGTTACACTTTAGTTGTGAAAAACCAACAAATGGTGTTTATTTCTTCTCTCTCTCCTGAACTACACTTAGATTCCAAGGGGACAACCTCTTCCAGCTCTTCCCAGTCCACCAGGCCACGGCTTGATGTCGTAACCAACTCAGCACTGTACGTTTCAATTTGTGGCTCAGATGGTACAGTCATCCTGGATGAGGAATGAAGCGCTTCCAGAAAACAAGAGAAGGCTGATACTGATGTCAAACACGTAAGTTGATGTGTAAAATGTATTTACTGTGAGAGCCTCCTTTGCACAGTTTTTTGATTGGTAGCTATTTCTGTAGGTGTATTTACTGTAAGTTGTTCGTGATTATTTATTGTTAGTGAATATTGTCTTGTCTTCTACTCCTTTCACAGTTAATTGAATCTGCACTGACCAAGAAACCTGGTGGAGGTCGTATTATCAAGGCGAAGAAAGCTCTGACTGACTCCTCACGGCAACAGATGGTTAAAGGATAATCTCAGTATTTGTAAACCTGGGCCCCATTTTCACATATTTTGGTGTTGAAATGACTCGTAGGTACAGAAACTTTTAAATCAGTGCAGTAGATGGCTTCCAGGAGACACTCTTTATTTATGTTTTATTTTTTTAACAGGAAGCTGAAATCTCAAAGACAATTCTCACTCTAAAATCTTGTGAGACACATTCAACACCAACACACAGCAGGCACACTCCGGCATCACAACTCTCTCGGGGGCTTATTTGGTAGATTTTGGTTAGAGTTGATTGGTAGATTACAAATGATGGCATGATAATGACGTTTGTTATGGGCTACAGTTCTCCCCTGGAATGACCATTAAAATGTAAAATGAATGTGCAGTTTAAAAGCAACTGCTAAGGGAGCTGTGACACTGAAACAGAACTACAAACTAAACCATAATGGTAAATGTTTTTATTTTTAATAAATTGTATGGATTACATGGATCTTATGGTGGTTGTTGTTTTTTCCCCTACTGCAAACATTAAACAAGTGTTAGCTGGACATGCTAAAGTAGAAAATTGTAAAACACTAGAAAGTAGTTATTTAGATTTTTATGTCAACAAGGTGTTTGGCAAGAACACTTAAGGTAAAATAAACCGTAAATAAATAAATACAGAAATGCATAAACGCAGAAATAGTCTTTTTATTACAAATATATTTAATTTTAATTTATTTCTGCATTTATTTATTCATACATGTCATTTTTCATCCCTCATACTAAGGGGCCATGAGCAAGGATCCACAAGTGCGGCCTTCATAGAAGTCTTTTACTGGCCAGCACACCCCCGTATCAGAAAGGATCCTCATTTTTTTTTCTCTCCTCGCAAGGAAAAGACACAAGTGAGGGACTCGTGGATACAAAATAGAGACTTGAGATGAACCCATTATGCTGTAATTGGATAGAGATGATAAGATGACAGCAAGCTCATTTTATATTGAAGCTAATTGTGTAGTTGCATCGTGCTTAATGATGACAGGCAGAGATGATATTCTTTGTGAAATCCTAATCTTGGTAGTTTGAGGTAAGGGAACTGTGAATTCAGATTGCTCGACGTGACAGCAAAGTTGACGGCATTCAACTCGCAGAGGTCACACAATTTCTTAATCCTATACCTACGACAATGTCTTTTTGTAAATCACAGAATGAAAAGGGTCATTTAAAAAAACTTGTATACAGGAAAAAAAGTGCCATGAGCTGCATTAGATTAATAAACTGTATGGTGTCACTATCTGTTTCTTTCTTCTTCTAAAAGGACAGACAAAAAATAAAGACATATCTTCAGTCTCTGTCTTTAACGTCCTCTCTGTGTCTTTCTACAGGAGTGTACAGAGAGCTGTGTCTACAGGTGATCAAACACAAGCACGAGTGTGAACTACAGGGAGCAAAGCAGCACCTGGAGGTAATATATAAACACGCACACGCGTACTGTATATGAACACTCACACACTTCAGCCAATGTTATTGAACAAATGTGTGTGTGTGTGTGTGTGTTACAGAGTGAGCGGGCACTGCTGTTTGATGCCATGAAGACAGAACTGCTGGAAAAGATTAGAAGACTGGAGGAGGACAGACAGAATACAGACCTCACCTCAGGTACGGCTAAGATGTCAATCCCAAAGATAAATCTATACATCATCATCGTCATCATCATTAGTCTTGTTGAATTAGGGAACAAAATACATTGACTCTAGTTTTTCTGCCATCATTAATGTTTGAACAGAAATCTGCGTCTGTGTGTACACACATTTTGCATGTACTAGATAATACTCACTACACTCTGAAGACGAACCCAGTGATAACCTAAAAACTGACCTACTGTGTAGCAGAGGTAGCAGTACATGCTCGTGCTGGCAGCGCCCCGAATGTATTAAATACTGTGCCTCTCAGCAAAAAGTGTAGAAGCAAACGCATGCATTTAAGGGGTCCATGCAGAGCAAATGCAGCAGTTGCAAACTTGAAAACAAAACACTCATAGGCACAAAATCTGTCACAAGGAGCATATTACCAGCTTTTGTAACTGACAGCTGACTTTGTGTAAGCAATAATTTACGACACTGTAAATTAACTTCAAAAGGGTGAGGCTGAGTCCTTACCACGGCGTCCTGGGTTCAAGACCATGTCATCCCTCTTCTCTCTCTCTCCCACATTTGCTGTCTCTCTTCAGCTGAGAGGCAAAAGCCCAAGTACTAATTTGAAAAAAAAAGGTTAAATCGGATGAGCTTTTCTCAGTGGCAAAAAAAAATTGGATTCTAGCAGTTGCTTTTCAGCCAACCTTTTAAGTCTTTTCAGGACATTTTTCACTTTTCCTTGTAACAAGGTACAAGGTGGTTTATTTGTCATTGTATAGCACCAGGCTGCATGACAAAATGAAATTTGTAGTTCCTTCATGCTACACACACAACATATAGTTAAATGTAGGCCTATATTAAAATATGGTACCTTGTGTTAGAAGAAGTGAACCTAAATCTAAACAGTGAGACGAGCCATGTAATTAATGCTTCATTTTCGCATTACAGAGTGGAGTGATGACACGAGGGGCAAGAAGTGTAAAAGAAAGAACCTGCTGGGTCGGTCGGAGAGGAAAAAGAAAGTAGCTCTGGTTTCAGGTGAAACTTCTCCCCATGCCGCTTGTCAGAAACTCCTTCTTATACAACTTTGTTGTATTCCAGCCGTTCCCCTGTGTTGATATATGTGTTGCAGTTCCTCTCTGTGTTGGTGATTCTGCCACAAACCGTATCTCGAAGTTCATTTGCCTGTAAACCGACAGATTTAACCCCACTCCCTCCGTGTCTCACAGGGCCTTTCATTGTCTACATGTTGAGAGACATCGACATCCTTGAAGACTGGTCTGCTATCAAGAAGGTAAAGAAAATTGTAGTTAGGTTTAGATTTTGGCTCCCAAATTTGTGAAACCCACAGCACTACACTGCATACACTCCAACAAATGAAGCAGCAAAATGTGTCATGGTTACAGAGATGTTTAGCTAACTTGATCTCTGTGTGCTTTTCAGGCAAAAGCAGCGCTGTCGCCACTAAAAAAGAAGGTTGAAAGTAAGTCTGCCCGTTTGCATACCCATACAGGGACCCTTCAGTTGGAGACTTTTTCTGTAAGACAATCTCATTTTGTCTTTCAGAGCGGTGATAATAGGAGCATCTTATTGAAGACCAGCGGCAAAGAAACCAAACTTAACAAACACACATTCCCAGCTACACCCACTTTAACAGTTAAGGCTTTGTCTCCTCGACTGAAACCCAGCAGACTGTTGTGTTGTGTTTTTTTCTGCGTCTCTGACCCCAGCAACCAACCACCCCACTGCTTATTTATCTATTGCTATTTAAAATAAGGTCTTAATGATATGACAACCATGTATTTATAGAAGGATTTTTAATGGTGATTAAAATTTTAACCTTTTGTGACACAAGGTTTTTGCGTGTTCCGCTGGATCTCTTCTCGTGCCTTACTGATGATATGGGGGACACGGTCACATTAAGGGAACTTGCCTGCCTTTTGGGGACAAAAAGCAAGTCCCCATAATGTCATAAACTTCCAGGATGAAGTAAGGTCCTCTGAAGTGATGGAAAAGTGTGTGTGTGTGTGTGTGTGTGTGTGTGTGTGTGTGAGAGAGAGAGAGGGAGATCAATTCCTGCTCCAGGCTTTATAACTAACTAGGCAACTAAAATCTTTTCAAAATATAATTTCTATTAAAGTATGTAAGTACTATGTGTGTATTAGAAGAACTGTTTGGAGAAAACAAAGATGTATTTAAAGTCAAAATATTTCTAAGGTAGTGTTTTAGGGCTATTGTAAGTTTTTAACAAATGATGGTCAGGGGGGTATAATTCCTTGAAAAAACTGAAGTTGTAAATGTACAAAACAAAACCCACATTCTCTGAGATTAAATTGGGAAATTTACAAGAAAAAAATGCTTTTTAAGTCATTAATAATACAAGCTAAGAGTCAGTGCAAACATAAGAGGTGGAGCTTTTAGACAGTCAGATATGAGGGACTGTAACGGATAATGGCCATACTCCATAATTCTTTTTTTTTTAACCTACAATGGCCCCAATATGCGTCGTAGAATACACTGTTATTTTGGCTTGAAGGAATCAAATATCCAACTTTTGCATTAAAATTATATCTTAAATTTTTTTTAAAAATGCTAAAAATATTTTTTCTTGTGCTTCCTCATGGTCATGAAGACGATGGAACCATTAGCTTCAAAAGTCAGGACGTAATGGTTTAATTAAAGCATGTTCTTCTGCGTGGATGTGGCCTTGAGTGTGTTTTGATTGTTAAAGCTTGACTTTTTGCATTCAGACCTGGCCGTTTAGGTTCTCACAAAGAAACATAGGCAGATACCTGTGTCAAGTTCCTCACTTTTATAGACGAGACTGGAAACATGGCATGGGATCTGCACAGCCCAGGACCGATCGGGATCTGCAGCGGGTCACTGAAACTCACATTGCATCATTGAGACCCATTTGTGCGAGCATCAGCAATATCGGTGAGGATACTAAAAGACAGTCCCAGCCTGTTCAGTCTGCTGCCGTATCACCAGACTACAGAGCAGCTTCTTTGCTCAGGCTGAGACTCCTCAACTCCACCTCATCCTCTACACACTGAAATAACATGGAACTTATGTCCGTTTTGCACATTACCATACCACTACATTTGTGTAATATATGTGTAAGTAACTTTATAACTGGTTTTATCCATATCTAATTTTAAATATATGGATATATGTTCTGTGTGTAGCCTGAAGGGCTTTATTTATGAACTGAGAACAACCAGTGGAAACTCAGACTGATATAGAAAAAAAAAATCATTATTATTGTTTATATAAAAAGACTTATATTATCACAATTATTTGTTATTTTAATAATTGTTCCTTGGAAAAATGCTACTGCTTGTCAAACATCAAGACATATTTTGAGTGTAAGACTTTTTTAATGTCATTTTATCGTTTATTATTTATATTATTTTTTTTATAAATATATTTAAATAATTTATTAAATTTTTTTATGGCTTTCTGCTTTGGCAACATTGTTGAACCTAAACGTTCATGTTAATAAAGCATATTGAGTTGATATTGTAATCATTTCACTTTTTGTTAAATTGAGCAAACATGTCCTCACGGTTTGCAAGCTTTCCGTTTTGTGTGGCGAAATAAAGTCTGGTTTTCCTACGAAGCCCTGGCTCTGTAAATGGAAAACAAAGAAAGTGTGGACCTTGCCCATAACATTTTTCCAGCCAATCAGCAACAGGTGGCGTCAGTGCTCGTGCACAGGAGTGATGAGTTAATTATACTGGCACATTCGAACGTGCCGGACTCCAGGAACTGTGAGGAAGGAGAGATGGCCGAGAAACAGACAAAGAAGAAAATGTCTGAATATATGTATAAACAGAGAAGAAAGTTATATGATCAGGTAAGGGCGAAGAAT